GGGAATACATCCTCCCCTGCACTCCCCGACCCTTGATCCCCACAGCTGCCGGCTCTCACTTCCCCGCCGCCACGCAAGGCCGGCCCCAGCCCCCGCCGGATCGCTTCGTCCCAAGGTCAGCCATCTGGACGCAGCAGAAGATAAAGGTCGTTTCACCTGACTACTACTGTGCCCTTTTTCCCCTATAAAAGGACCCCCCTTCCGGGGCTCGGGGCTTGGCCTAACAGAAGCTAAGCCCCCGGGTACGCGCGCCACCAATAAAGCCTCTTGCTTTTGCATCCAAGTTCATGGTCTCGCTGATTCCTGGGTGCGGGTCTCCTTCTACGAAAGTACCTCTTCGCCGGTCTTTCACTGCCAGTATACCTGGGAGGCAAGATTATAAACACCAGCAGCTGCTGACAGAAGGCAGCTGGTGCTCCCTCATCGATAATGTGTGTATGTTTGAAATGGGGCTTAGTCGATTCATATAGAAAAGGTTTAATAGCGATACAGAATATATGGCACCTGTGAAATATGAAACAGGCCACGTGTCTACCCCACCTAACCTATCAGCAGCATGTTTTCCGATGTCTTGTTCTTGTTAGGATTATGGCATACGGATTCATGTATGTAGGTTGGCGAGTGCCCCTTTCTGGCTTATTTTGAGACAGGTTCTCGTGTAGCTTTGGCTGGTCTTAAACTGAAACTGCCACGGAGCTGGATGATTGCACTTCTGATATTCTTGCCTCCATTTCTCAAGTGCTGAGACTATTGGGGTTTGCCACCACATCAGGTTTTATGTGGTCCAATTCACATCACTATCCATGCTAGGCAGACATTCTACCAACTGAGCTACATCTGTAGCCCTCCTGTGACCTCTTGAAAAGGTCTGAAATAGACCCTTTAAAAAGCAAAGTACTGGGGCTGGAGAGATGGCTCAGAGGTTAAGAGCACTGCCTGCTCTTCCAGAGTTCCTGAGTTCAATTCCCAGCAACCACATGGTGGCTCACAACCATCCATTATGAGATCTGGTGCCCTCTTCTGGTGTGCAGATATACATGGAAGCAGAATGTTGTATACATAATAAATAAAATCTAAAAAAAAAAAAAAAAAAAAGCAAAGTGACTTTCCCACAGCTCATACCATCACTGAGCAATCGGTGCGGGTGAGGACCAGTATAATAGAGAGCAGCTTCATCACTGTCGCCACACACACTTGGTCAATTAAGCAGCTGCATGTGGCTCATCCCTGAAGGCAACATTTGCTCCTGCTTCTCTCCACCTTTTCCTCCACTCATGTTGCCATTCTGGGTCCCCAGGATCATGCCTGAGATCATACGAAAAGGACAGTTACAAGCCTTGGGATGGGAAAGAGAGAGAATCTAGAAAACTCCCATGACCCCTCCTGGGGGTTCAAAGATCCTCTGGGTCATGCTTTCGATTGCCTGAAGTCTTGGTTATCTCCTCTTCCTCCTCCTCTTCTGCTTCCTCATGCCCATCACTGCTCTTCTCCTTCCCAGTCCAGGTTTCCTGTAGACAAGCTGGGTAGCACAGGAGAAAACAATTCCAGTATTAATGCCCAGGGCTAGGGGAAGCTGGGAAGGGGAGGCCCAACCTTTTCACTTACCAGTTTCAGAGGCTGGAAGTACATGGCCTTCACAGAGAAAGTGCTGTAGGGACTGCTCCTGGTGGTGGAAGTACCAGTCTCCCACAACATCTTCAAATTCCTCCAGCATTGTCTCACACTGGTGAAGAGGAGCAGGAAGAGGATCCGTTCAGATAGGGATCTGCTCTTCACTCCCTATCTTCCTTCTCTGTTGACTGCCTTTTGAGAGGCAGACGGCCAGGTTATACCTGGATTACTAGATGTGTGATTCTCTTCATTCAATATTTACTAGTATTTATTACTATTAGTACCTAGTATATCTACTCTGCTAGGTGGCAAATGCCTGTAATCCAAGTTGGGAGGCAGAGGCAGAAGGGTCGAATATTCAAGCTCATTCTCAACTACACAGTGAGTTACAGACCAGCCTGGACTCCATGTAATCCTGTCTGAAAAACTCAGTATGTCTCAAAGTCTAGCCGGTAAAGTGGGAACTGGTAATCACACCCGTGACATGAGAGTAAAACAAGGCAGCAGTATGAGGCCCAGAACACAGGACCTAGGAGGTTCCCAGTAGCAGTGGTAAACATTATTGGCCTCGCAGTATTATTTCTTGATTCGCTTTCGGGCCTGCCTTAATAAATGGCATGCTCCCTGCTCAGAGGTAGACATCCCCTAGACGGACTTCTAGGATTTAGCTCTTGTCGCCTCCCTGGACAGAGTGGCATCCCATCCTACCTGCTTCTTGAGGAGTGTGACCTCCACACTGGGCTCGTCCCACAGCTCCAAAGGGATCCCCAGATCCACTTTCACTCCCTTCTGCACTAGGCCTTTCAGTGTTGCCATGGTCTGACTCTGACCCTGAGGGATGAAAATTTGGTGTTAGTCCAACCCACCACTCACCTCTTCTTTTCCCTTTCACCACATCAGTTTTATCAACTGCTGGAGACTCTGTGGTGTGTTCTAGGAGGGAGTCTGGCTATTAACAGGGGGACAGCCTGGCAAATATTCCCTAAGGATCTTAGATGATATAGGTCTGTTTCTGAGAAACATGGTCCTGGGCTGGGGAGAAAGAGCTCAGTGGGTAAGATACTCAAGGACCTTAGTTCAATCCCCAGAATCTGAAAGACCCCAACTCAAACCCAGCCTGATACCCACCAGCATGTATTTGAAAATCACTCTGGCCACACATACAGCTCTGGGAAAAAGAACACATGAAATGGTCGGTCAGGATGACCAGTCTCTGGAAATTGTTATTATTACTAGTTTCCAAGGAATAACAACTGTATGGTTTCTAAAAATTCTCCAGAGCACCCAAGTTTTGAAAATAAGTACAAGCCACTCTGTTCCTGGAAAAACCACTAGCTGTCCCATAGCCTTGCAGGTGCAAAAACCAAAATAACATTCCAAACCCCTCGTGGGGAAAATTTAAGTTCAGTTCCCAATCAATCAGTAAATGACTCATTTATGTTATAGCCAATCAATATGTTGTCACACTCCTGACTAGTGACCAAAAAGACATAAAAACTGTTTGCTTTAGAAACTCGGGGTTGTTCTTGCAACTTGCATCCTGTGAGTGACCCTGCAGGGTGTGTCTCCTGAAGTTGGTCCCCCTTTCGGGCCCAACAAATCCATAGGGGAAAAAAAAAAAAGGCATGGTGGCATGAGCTTACAACTGCAGCCCTGGGGAACAACAGACAGGCAGATTCTTGGGATTCCCTGGCTAGCCAGCCTAGCATGCTTGAAAAATCAGTAAGCCAGTGAGAACCTGTCTCAAAAACCAAGGTAGGAGCAGGGTGTGGTAGTGTGTGCCTTTAATCCTAAGATTCGTAAAGCAGAGGCAGGTGGATCTCTGTGAGTTCAAGGCCAGCCTGGTCAACAAAATGAGTTCCAGAACAGCCAGAGCTACACAGAGAAATCCTGTCTTGAAAAATAGGTGGGTATGGCAAGGTGTCTGAGTGAGCAAAGGTGATCGCCACCAAGCCTAATGACCTGAGTTCAATCCTCAGGGTCCACATGGTGGAGAGAACCAACTCCCACAAGCTGTCCTCTGACCTCAGGAGTGTGTCATGACACATGCTCACATGACATAATTATGGAAAAACAAAACAAGGTGGATGGCTCCTGGGGAAAAACACCCAGAGTTGTTCTCTTACTTCTCTACATGCAGACGTGCACATACATGAACATACCAGGGCACATGCACAGGTTTGGAGGGTAAAAAAGGAAAACCAGCAGGGCCCCTCTGAGTAAACGCCTTACCTTGGCATATCTCAATGAGCCCTTGTGCTCAGCATGGACACTGTAATCCAGGATCCGCTCACATAAATTCTCCAAAGCCTCTTCCAACCTTGTCTCACTGTGGGAAGAAGGGAAATAAGACCCCTTGACATCTGAGGGAGCCGGCAGCTCCTCTGGGGTTGGTCGGAAGGTGATAAGCAGACTCACGAAAGACTGTAAGGCACGCGTCTCTTCCTCTCGCCTGTGTCTAGTACCTGCCCTAGGTCCAGCACTTCTCGAGATCGACCTGTGCGACTTAGCTCTTCCTGTAGCTCCAAGCTCAGCAGCTTACACACTGGGGACAAAGGAGACAAGTGATCACACCAGCGTCACTGTGCCCATGATCCAACTCAGCAGCAGAGCACGCATAGAAGCACATGACTGGAGGAGGGCACTGACTCTGTCTCAGCAGCTGTGTGATACTTGCTGTCTCCCAACTTCTTCACCTCTAAAACGTGGATAAGACTGTCCCTTATAGAGTTGTGATGAAGATTAGAGTTCATCAGCATGTGTAAACCCCCTAGAGTCATGTCTAGCATATAGTGAGCACTGTGTCAGTACTTGGATGTCACTCTGACACTCCTTATTGAGCTACTCTTATATGTACACTAGAGTAGAGACAGCATAAAACCCATCATGTGTCCACAAAACATTGTCGGATGGATACATAAACAATGATACAGAGGAATGCAATCAAGAAATCTGTTTCCAGGACGAGTAAAATGGCTCAACGGGTAAAGGAACCCACTGTTAAACCTGGTGGATCCACATGGTAAGAGGAGAGAACCGACCTCCACATTCTACACTATGGCACGTTAACCCACACACATACACAAATTTTAAAGAAATCAAAGAAAGCTGGGTGGTGGTGGCACACATCTTTAATTCCAGCACTTGGGAGGCAGAGGCAGGCGGATCTCTGTGAGTTTGAGACCATCCTGGTCTACAAGAGCTAGTTCCAGGACAGCCTCCAAAGCCACAGAGAAACCCTGTCTCAAAAAAACAAAAACAACAACAACAAAAAAAAAATCAAGACAGGGTTTCTCTGTAGCTTTGGAGTCTGTCCTGGAACTCCATCTATAGACCAGGCTGGCCTGGAACTCACAGAGATCCGCCTACCTCTGCCTTCCAAGCGCTGGGATTAAAGTCACTCACCACCACCACCCAGCCAACAGTGTACACCTTTAATCCCAGAATTATATACATAAGGTAGAAACAAAGGGTCTCATGTGATATTCCACTTCCAGTCCCAAGGAAGGCAGGATCTCTGCTTTCAGCCTTGGTAGAGGTAAGAGCTACTGGCTGTCTGCATTGCTTTTCTGATCTTCAGCTTGAACCCCAATATCTGTGTGTAGGTTTTTATTATTTGTGCTACAAAATTAGAATCAAGTAATGAGGAACAATGATAATAAAATGCAGTTGGGTGTAAGGTGAAGAGAAGAATCTAAAGAAAAAGTTAATGTCAGGGAGAGAGACAACAAACCAGGGAACTCTGTAGTATTCAGTGACCTGGCTCCTGACTACTAATACAGTCAGAGACCATGCTGCTTGCTGTAAAATCCCTACAGTACACCCCAACTACAAAGCCTCACACCCATGGGCAACTTCTAAGTGGTGTGATGTCTCCTCTAACTTGTTTATGAGCTTCAGGTACTGACTTACTCATCTTTAAACCCCTGAAGGGGGTCATCAGGCCTGTAATTTGAGAGCGTCTTTGCCAGGGCGAGGCACAGGATGTCTAGAAGGTCTGAACCTTTCACCCCACCCATGCAGACGGTCCAGATTTAGGTCTGGTTAACAAGGCGGGAAACGAACTAAGGAAGATGCTCGGTTGGAGCAACTTTACTGGTTGTTGAACTACAATTCCCACAATCCACTGGGGCTAGAGCCTGCAAGAAAAACCTGGCTCCTTCTGGATGCCTCCTGGGAAATGTAGTGTCAACCTAACCCTGATTCCCTCCCGTAGTCCCATTCAAAAGTTACCAAACTCCAAAAGAACCTCTTTCGAGACGGTCGAGTGACTCTTTGATCCAGCCTAGAGTTAGAGAGGCAGGAGGTGGAATAGACAGATGCAAATAAGAACAGCTACTTTTCTATACCTTCGCATTTGCTGGGCAAACGTTCTGTGTCATCTTCCTCCTTTTTCGTCGTCCCAGCCCAAGCACTGTACGCTGCCAGGATGAAAAGCAGTATTTCCAGCCTCTCAGGTCCCATGACAAAACGCAGTCCACGCATACAACCACCGTTTCCCTTCGGACTAACTTCTGGAAGGCAGCGGGCCCTTTAAATTTAGACGCAGCTGGCCACAAGCTTAAAAAAAAAAAAAAAAAAAAAAAAAAAAAAAAAAAGCCATCGTGGAACGGGCAGCGCATGCTCAGAGCTAGCCCGAAAGCGGGTGGAGCGTCATGGCTCTGGGCTTCCCCGCCTTAATTTTGTGGCGCCTCCTGTAGGTCCTGGCAGCTGAGTAGTGAAGACACAGATTGAAGTTATTAGAATATAATAATATGACCCTTACACATATACGTAGAATGTAATTTTTATATAATTTAAGACTGTAATACTAGATGATCTATTTTGATGTAGGGAAGAGCAGTGATAAGCACTTGGCTTCTGCCAGGACCTACTCCTGCCAGGGGGCGGGGCCAAGATGGCGCCGAGCGCCGGGTGAGCGGCGCTTTGGCAGCGGTGAGAGGCTTTTACTGCTCCCAGTGCTTGGCTGGCGGGGGAAGGTCTGAGGTGTATCCGGGAGGAGACCCTTTTGAAAGGGCCCATGTGAGAACTGGGAAGAGGACGGTTGGTTGTGTGTCCGCGCTCGTGGGGACTCTGCGTGTTTGCACTGGAAGGAGGTTGGGGAGATGGAGTGGATTGTGAACCTCCTGTAGCGCTGCCCGGGGAAATCTTCGAATCAGTTCTCTCTGAGGAAAATGGTGCACAGATCTAGCTCAAGCTGTCTGCCCTCTGAGAAGTCTTCCTGTCGCTTCCACTGAGACGCTCCTGAGGCTGTTAAGAGTGTTTTATGAACCCTTAGTGACAGAGGGTACCGCAGGGGACTGGGTCACGACTACTTCTTGTATACCTGACACCAGGTACAGAGTATGTCTGAGTAATTGTATTCCTTGTAGACAAGATTTAACAAAAGTCTGAGAAGACCTGGGATGGCTTGAAAAGAACCAGTGCCCTTTGGCCTCTTTCCCCCAGTCTCTCTAGCACTCAGTTCCGAACACTCTTGAGGTTGATCTTCCTTATGTCCAGTGTCAGGCAAGCTCCTTTCCTTTTGACCACAGAGTAAACGCTAAGCTTGAGTCTGTGTCTTTTTCATTTTGGTAATTGTTATACCAAGTATTTATAGAACATTTACACCCTTAAGACTTAAAATTCTTTTGTTTTAACAGTGTCCTGGGTACCAATCTAGGTACCAGTTAGGTCAGTGAACATAACAGACATATTCCTGTCCACTGGTGAGGTCAGGATGATAAACAAGAAGTGATAGCTAGACTTAGTGCTGCACAGCTGCAAAGGCAGAAGGATCTCAATTTCTAGGCTACAGAGTGAGTTCCAGACAAGCCTCAGTAACTTGCTGAGACCCAGTTGTAGAGGGGTTGTTTACCATGTAGAAGGCCCTGGATTTAATCTAGAGAGAGATGATGTGTGTATATACGTACATATATATATATGAAGAAAATATGGCAAAGAAGTAAAGCTGGGCATGGTGGCACTTGCCTGTAATCCCAGCACTTGGGAGGTGGAGGCCAAAGGACTAGGAGATAAGGTCAGTGTTGTCTACATAGTGAATTTGAGGCCAGTCTGGGCTACATGAGACCTTGTCCCTAAAGAAAGGGGTGAGGTGGGGTCATGTAGCTAAACTCATTTGGGAAGACAACAGCAAAAGCTCTGAAACCAAGTGTATGTCTGTCAGATTTAAAGGAGAATGATGTGACAGAGTAAAGTGAGAGAAGGAATGATGGGTGATCAGAGATATGATGAGAGAAAATTGAAAAGGAAAAAAGCCACTTTAGACAGGAACTTACTGCATAGTCCAGGCTGGCCCCAAATTTGCTGTCTCCCTCCTTCAGCCTCCAGAGTACTGGCATTCCAAGTGTGCACTATGTAGGGTCTCACTCTGAAGCATATTCTGGTGTCCTACTCAAGGCAGTCCATTGAAATTAGAAGTGTTAACCCCAACACCTGGACAGGAGACATTTTGAAGGGAGGGCTTTGGAAGGGTTATATGGCAAAAGGGGAACCATTACAGCAAAGAAATGGTAGTCTATTGTACATTTGGACAGCAGTACTTTGGTTTTCAGGAGTAAATACAGGGAAGCTCAGATGGAAACAGGAACACCTTGTCCAGGGGCTTTTAGAGTTCAGCAGGTGACAGGTGATGGTCATGTAGGCCAAAAAGGGTCAGGTTGGGCTGCCTGGTTCATTTTGAATCAAACGTAGGTCTTGTTCATGCCAAGTACTCTACCATTGAGCCACATCCTCCAGCCCTTGCCTGGTGGATTTGATTCAAGGGTCCAGAGTGGAATGAGTTGTGCTGGATGTGGTGACACATGCCTATAGTCCCAGCACCTGGGAGGTATAGATATCAGTATCAGGAGTTAAATTCCAATCTCAGCTATTTATAGAGTACAAGTTAGCCTGGACTACAAGAGGCCCTACACACCTTTAATCCCAGCACCCAGGAGGCAGAGGCAGGTGGATCTCTGGATTTGAGGCCAGCCTGGTTTACAGAGCAAGTTCAGGTCAGCCAGAGCTACACAGAAAAAAAAAAAAAAAAAAACAACAACAAAAAGAAAAACAACAAGAACAAAACTGGTGTGGAGATGTAGCTCAGTTAAGAGTATTTGCCTAGCAGACACAAAGCCCTGAGTTCCACCTTCAGCACCACAAAACTAGGTATGGAGGTGCATGTCTATAATCCCAGCCTTAGGAGGGTAAAGGCAGAAGGATCCAGAGTCAAGGCTATCTTGTTACCATGTTTGAGACTAGGCTACAGAAATCTTGTTCCCAAAAGTAAGACAAGACAAGTTGTCACTAGTCACCAAAATGCATAATATATATATATGTGTGTATAATCCCAGTGCTTGAAATGCAGAAGTGGAAGCCAGATGTGGTGCATGCCTTCAATCCCAGCACTGGGGAGGCAGAGGCAGGCAGATCTGTGACTTCAAAGCCAACCTGGTCTGTAAGTCCAGGACAGCCAGGACTGTTAACTCAGAGAAACCTTGTCTCAAAAAACCAAAAATAATATAAAATTTTAAAAAAAGAAGAGAGAAGCAGGAAGCTGGAATTAGAAGTGCCTGAGCTAGATAGTGAGCTCCTGTGTCCAAAACAAAATTAACAATAAGGAAAGAATAAAGGACAAACCAAGTTGTTAGGTGATAGCATTGCTTTAAAGATGAACTGAAGGAGAAGCAAGTAGGGAGGGAGCTCAGGGTTAGGCTGTGAATTGTTTTTCTTTTTATCTTGCCCCATCCCACTGCCAGTGGCTCCATCTCTCTACCCTGGGGTGGCATCCTTCCAGGGGCAAGAGTTGGAATTCCAGCATGGCCGAGGAGAAGAAGCTAAAACTCAGCAATACTGTGTTGCCCTCTGAGTCCATGAAGGTGGTGGCAGAATCCATGGGCATTGCTCAGATTCAGGAGGAGACTTGCCAGCTACTGACAGATGAGGTCAGCTACCGCATCAAGGAGATCGCACAGGTAACCCTTCTGCCCAGCCTTGCTTTGTGTTAAAGATCCAGCTTACTATATAACTGAGGATGACCTGGAACTTCTCATCCTCCTGCCCCCACTTCCCACTGCTGTGATTGCAGGTTGTACTACCATGCTTTTTATGTGATGCTGGGCATTGAACTCGGGTCCCTGTGCATGCTTTACTCACTGAGCTGTATCTCTCAGGGTCTTAGATTAACATCTCTTCTCCTCCCAACCCCTAGGATGCTTTGAAGTTCATGCATATGGGGAAGCGACAGAAGCTCACTACCAGTGACATTGACTATGCATTGAAATTAAAGAATGTGGAGGTGATTTGGAGGGATGCAAAGGGGACAATGCACGTGTGGCGATGCCTCCCTTGGCTTTTTCTCATGCCTTTCTCTGTCTCTCTCTCTCCATATAGCCACTGTATGGCTTCCATGCTCAGGAGTTCATCCCTTTCCGTTTTGCCTCTGGTGGGGGCCGGGAGCTCTATTTCTATGAGGAGAAGGAAGTGGACCTGAGCGATATCATCAACACCCCTCTGCCTCGGGTGCCTCTGGATGTCTGCCTCAAAGGTGGAGGGAGGGTAGAGCTGGGTGTGCAGGGAGGAGGGGAAGGAAGCATGTGATTGGGAGGAACTGCACAAGTGAAGAAACAAAGAAACATCCAGTGTGAGATCCCTGGTGAATGGCAAGAAAGGCTGGGGAAGGAACACACACCTCCCTTCATTTGGGGTGACTCCCCAGTGTCCATGCCCAGTAACTCAGTTTGACATCTTCCTTACAGCACATTGGCTGAGCATTGAAGGCTGCCAGCCAGCTATACCAGAGAATCCACCTCCAGGTAACACTTACCGTACCTGAGCGGAGCCTACTTTTTCTCCTCCTTCATCCTTGGTCCTATGGGTTCCTCCTAACTCTTCCTGTGACCACTTTCCCACCAGCTCCCAAAGAGCAGCAGAAGGCTGAGGCCACAGAACCCCTGAAGTCAGCAAAGCCAGGCCAAGAAGAAGATGGACCCCTGAAAGGCAAAGGTCAAGGGGCAGCTGCAGCTGATGCCAAAGGTCAGAATCCAGGCCAGGCCACTTCCTACTTTTATTCCAAAGCTAGATGGTCCTCAGCGAAGTAGGTGAAGTCAGGGATGACAGAACCCTACAAAGGCCTAGAAGCCTAGAGAAGGGCTTTGTGTTGTGGTGAGGGTTTGTCCTGTACAGAAGCCTTTTCTGGAGCTTGCTTTTTTGGTGTGCATGTACGTGTATGTGTATTCTTGTGTTGGGGTTCAAGTGTGTGCATGAGAGAGACAGAGACAGACTCTGTGCTGTCTACTTTTTTTTTTTTTTTTTTTTTTTTTTTTTTTTTTTTTGAGACAGGCTCTCAATGGCCTGGAAGTCTTCAGTTAGGCTAGGCTGACTGGCCAGCAAACCCCAGGGATCCTCCTCTCTCTACCTCCCCAACACTGGGATTCCAAGCATGCATCACCATGCCCAGCATATATATATATATATATATATGGGTTCTGGGCATTGAACTCAGGTCCTTATGAGTTTTTTTTTTTTTTTTTTTTTTTTTTTACTTTACTGACTGAACCATCTCCCCAGCCTCAACTTCCTTTTTCAAGCCTGTCTCCCCAATTCACACAGGCAAAGAGAAGAAAGCACCTCCCTTGCTGGAGGGAGCCCCTTTCCGCCTGAAGCCCCGCAGCATCCACGAGCTGTCTGTGGAACAGCAGCTGTATTACAAGGAGATCACAGAAGCCTGTGTGGGATCCTGTGAGGCCAAGAGAGCGGTAAGCCTGTGTAAAATATCCAAAACTAACAATCATAAGGGTGAATCCAGAAGACACCAAGGTAAAACACAGGCCAGAGCTAGGTTATAGAACCCAGCCAGCGCGGCCAGAACAAAAGGGCCAGGGTCCCCACGTGCAGCCCCTTAAGAAGCTCCCCTACGTCACTCCGGCTTTCCTTCACCACGCCCTTATGGGTGAGTCCCGGGTCCACCTGCTACCTGTCCCAGGACTATTGGGCGGGGCTAGGGTGTCTCCCTACAAGCCTGCCTTCTGGCCTGCCTGGAACAGTGGTAGTTTTCCTACAGTAACTGGTCTCACCTGACTCGTTGCCCCCTCTACAGGAAGCTCTGCAGAGCATTGCCACGGACCCGGGACTCTATCAGATGCTACCACGCTTCAGTACCTTCATCTCCGAGGGGGTGAGAGAACTAGGAGAGGCCAGACCAAGGATGAGGCTCCAAGGAAGGGGGTGGCAAGGGGAGTCCATCTGAGGCATTTCCCTCTGTGCCCCCAACCCACCCACCAGTTTTCTCTCCCTCAGGTCCGTGTGAATGTAGTTCAGAACAACCTGGCCTTGCTCATTTACCTGATGCGCATGGTGAAGGCCCTGATGGACAACCCCACGCTGTATCTAGAGAAATATGTGAGTGGTCTCTGGTCTCGCCTACCTCCTGCCTTTTCCAACAGCATCACAGGAGATCAGGTGTCAAAAGTGGCTGACAGTGCCTGGTCTCCCTCAGGTGCACGAGCTGATCCCAGCAGTAATGACCTGCATTGTGAGCAGACAGCTATGTCTGCGGCCGGATGTGGATAATCACTGGGCACTCCGGGACTTTGCTGCCCGTCTAGTGGCCCAGATATGTAAGCATTTCAGCACAACCACCAACAACATCCAGTCCCGGATCACCAAGACCTTTACCAAGGTGAGCACCACAAATCACCCCTCTAGGGTTATCGCCCAGGAAATAAAGCACTTCACCCATCTGGCAGCGGAAAGATACCCAGAACATGGGGTTCATACTAGAGCCAGGGAGATTGGGCCCCAGGGACTTGCACCTCTATGTCTTTTGTGTTTATTAGGTGATGTCAGTCCTTAGCAATTAGCCTTTTTGTTTTTGAAACAGGGTGTCATGTTCCCCAGGCAAGTCTTAAACTGAGGATGGCTTTGAACATTTTGTTTTGCTTTTTTGAGACTGAGGATGGCTTTGAACTTTTTGTTTTGTTTGTTTAGCCCTGGCTGTCCTGGCACTCACTCTGTAGACCAGGCTGGCCTCGAACTCAGAGATCCATCTGCCTTTGCCTTGAGTACTGGGACTAAAGGCGTGCGCTACCACTGCCTGCAGCTTCCTCCTGTGTGCCAGCATTGCAGGCATGTACCACCAGGTCTTGTTTAGCAGTTAGCCTTTCAAAATCTTTTCATGTGGGTTTTTCTTTTTTCTACAGAGCTGGGTAGATGAGAAGACCCCATGGACAACTCGATATGGTTCCATTGCAGGCCTGGCAGAGCTGGGACATGATGTTAGTGCCCAGGGCAAAGCACTAAGAGAGGGGCAGGTCTATGTGGGGTGGGAGAGACCTCTGGGGACCTTCTAGTCTGGCTTCTCCCCTTCCTTCTTACCAGGTGATTAAGACACTGATTCTGCCAAGGTTGCAGCAGGAAGGGGAACGGATCCGCAGTGTCCTGGATGGGCCAGTACTGAGCAATATTGACCGTATTGGAGCGGACCATGTGCAGAGCCTACTCCTGGTGACGAACCCCCACCACACCCTCCCCTTCTTCCTATCAGCCCCACTCCCAACAATGTGGCTACAGTGTTTAGCAAGCATGAGGTACATCTTAACTCTTACTTTTCAGAGGTCAGTGTTGTTGTGTACATGGAAAGTTAGGCACAAACAGAACCAAGAAGCCTAATAGTCACAAACTTCTGGACTGTGGTCATGTTACTTCTGTGTCACCCTACACAAGGCACATGAGCACCCTACATATGGCATCACTAGATACAGCAAATCCTGTTCATACCAGCCCATCTGTACAGAAGGAAACAGCCTTTCATTTTTTATTTGTTGACTCTTAGAGATGGTCTTGCCTTGGCTAGCCTGGCACCTGTGAGGTAGACCATGGTGGCCCCATGGCAGTCCTGCTACTTCTGCTTTCTTGAATACTGAGATTACAGCAATGCACCACCACACTTTTTTTTTTTTTTTTTTGGTTTTTCGAGACAGGGTTTCTCTGTGTAGCTTTGGAGCCTATCCTGGCACTTGCTCTGTAGACCAGGCTGGCCTTGAACTCATAGAGATCCACCTGCCTCTGCCTCCCGAGTGCTGGGATTAAAGGCATGCGCCACCAACACTTGGCTCTATCTAAACATGTGAGCCACCTCTCTAGTCCCCCACTCCCTTTTGTGTGTGCTGCTGAGAATTGAACCTAGGGTCACACACGCATGTTTTCAAAACACTGTACCACTGAGTTATGATGAGTCCAGATGGCTGGCTTGAGGGTCTGGGTTTCTTCAAGAAGGCAGGCTTCACTTGTGGAGGAAGGGAAGTGCTTCCAGCAGGACTGGGGCTATGGAGATGTCCGGAGGTTTCCTAGTCAGAGCCTCAGCTATGTGTCATTGGAGCTGCAGGCCGGGCCTCCTGGGTTGGGGTGTCTGGGAATGGTTCCAGCTCTGATGTCTGGGTTTCTTTCTTCTTTTAGTTCTGGGCTGTCCCATCCAATCCCAATTGTTCCTGCTCCCCAACCTTCAGAGCAGGAGGCCAAGGAAGAGCTGAAGGTGGATGGTCAGGTTCTACCTCGAGAGTCTGCCTGGCCAAGCCAAACCAGAAGGTTTAGGGAAGAAGTTAAGAGTCTCCAGGGGCTACTGTTCCCATTTCAGTTTTTCCCCTTTGGCTTTTTTTTTTTTTTTTTTTTTTGAGACATTCATCTATCCAGGCTCGCCCGAAGTTCTCTTTGTACTCTGGCCTGCCTAGAACTCAGTGATCCTCCTGCTTTAGAATGAGTTCTGGGACTACAGGCCTGAAGGACGCCCCAGCTCAGATGTGGTCCTTAGGGAAGATGGTAGCTTTTCACTGGCTTGTCTCTAACAGAAGCAGTGGGAGAGTACCAGCCCTCACTTTACTTTCTCTGCAGAAACACTGTGCCCCAGTACTGGCAAAGCTGCGCCCTCCACCCGACAATCAGGATGCCTACCGAGGAGAATTTGGGTCCCTGGGGCCCCTTCTCTGCTCCCATGTGGTGAAGGCCAGGGCCCAGGCTGCTCTACAAGCTCAGCAGGTCAACAGGACCACACTCACCATCACACAGGTCAGCTGCTGAGGGAGGAGGCTGACAGGAAATAAGCCAGGTTTGGGACAAGCCTGGCCACAGCCAGCAATCTCAGGGAGCCTGACCTCATCCCTACCCCCAATTGAACCCAGGTCTGCCTTCAATGTTGACATTTTCTTCCTGTCTCTCTTCATAGCCTCGGCCCACACTGACCCTCTCACAGGCTCCTCAGCCAGGCCCTCGTACCCCTGGCTTATTGAAGGTCCCTGGCTCCATTGCCTTGCCTGTCCAGACACTGGTGTCTGCTAGAGCTGCTGCCCCTCCTCAGCCTTCTCCTCCTCCAACCAAGTTTATCGTGATGTCCTCATCTTCCAGTGCCTCATCAACACAGCAGGTATGTGGGGCCAGTATGAGGGATGTGAGGAGCACCTGGGGAAACCTCCAAGTGGAGGCCTAATCCCTCCAGACCCAAACCCAGAAGGTAGAAGGGCCACTTGTCAGGATTTTAACAGCCTCAAGTCCTGGATCTTGACCATTCACTGGGGACTGTAAGGGAAGGTGGGGACAGAGGGACGCAAGGAAGGACAACATGACCCCAGGCCTTCCAGGTATGAGGTAGACACCATAGACACCATAGTCACCACAGTCACGCTGCCTTTCTTTCTCCCCCAGGTCCTATCCCTCAGCACCTCAGCCCCTGGCTCAGGCTCTACCACTACCTCTCCTGTCACCACCACAGTTCCCAGCGTTCAGCCCATCGTGAAGCTGGTCTCCACTGCCACCACTGCACCCCCAAGCACAGCCCCTGCTGGTCCTGGCAATGTTCAGAAATACATTGTGGTCTCCCTTCCCCCAACAGGGGAAGGTAAAGGAGGCCCCCCTTCTCATCCTTCTCCAGTCCCTCCTCCATCTTCTTCACCATCCCCACTTGGGGGCAGTGCCCTCTGTGGGGGGAAGCAGGAAGCTGGGGACAGCCCCCCTCCAGCTCCAGGGACTCCAAAGGCTAATGGCTCCCAGCCTACCGGACCTGGCTCCCCTCAACCTGCTCTGTGATAATGTCACATCTGCTGATCTCCCGTTCTGCAGATTTCTACACACACAAAGAACGTGTGAGGGAGGAGGGAGGAGGCTGTGTCCCTAGTGATTTTCTTTTTAGATACTGTACAGTAAGTTCCTCAGAATAAAAGTTGGATTTGTAAGTTTGTGAGCTTCCCTGTGTCACATACAACAGAAAGGGTGAATTCATGGAACCTTCCTGGAGATTCTTCCTGTCCAGATCCAAAGACACAAGAAAGAAAATGTCCTCTTCCTGTTCAACTGCCTGCTGCTGACTTTGCTGTCCATATCCTTGTTTGGGGAGCTTCAAATCCGAATTACATAGGCGTTGCTGTGGCTCAGATGTCGCACCCACTTGTGAGGGTTGGCACTACCACAGGCACTGAAGGACAGCCTTAGGAATCGAACCTGGAGGCCAGAGCATGTGTGCCGAGGGAGTTCAAAGGAGAGGCTGGCAGGACCCAGCCCCAATGGGGAGGGCCCATGGCTTGAAGGCCCCTGTGAGCCAGGGACATCCATCTGTAAATAAGACAGAAGATGTGAGTCTAGACAGCTACCTGGTACCAGGACTGGGCTACTGCAGAAGGTGCATGAGGATCAAAAATAAATACCTGGAAAAGGCCTGAGAGTTGAGAGCCTCCTTGTACCCGGGGCAGGTCCCAGTGGAGGGCTCCTTCTCCCAGCTCTGCCTTCTGATCTGGGCTGCTCAATTCCTGAGACAGGCTGGAGGGTGGACAGGAAAGATGCTCAACTAAGTGGCTACTCCCTTGGTAAAGCAGGGACTCTACCCAGGTAGGCTTCCCAGCAAACATCCTGACCTGACTACCCCTCGAGGCAGGGGAAGGTGCAGACGAATGTTGAGAGCTTGGCTGCAAAGAGGAAAAGAAGAATCAGCCCCAGGATGGCAGTGTCTTACCCTTTGTCTGCACTGTTCTTGAGACAGTCTCAGGCACTTGAAGATGACTTTGAACTTTGGGTTCTCTTCCCTCTGGTGCTAGGATTACAGGTGTGCACCACTACACTTTGTGAGGTGCTGAGGATCAAACCCAGGGCTTTGTGCATGCTAAGCAAGCATTAGATATGTTGATCTACATCCCCAGCCCCTGCTCTGTTCCTGCTTAATGTCCCAACAGGAGTTCAGCACAGATACATTGCTTCCTCTAACCCTCTCCCAAATACCCCAGCCTCTGACTCAAATCTAATTTAAACTGGGTGGACACAAACACTGGTTTGTTTTGAGATGAGACCTCACTGTGAAGCCCAGATTGGCTCCCAACTGCTGGGATTACAGGCACACATCACAGTACAGAGCTTTAGTGGACCTGTCTGCAGGAAGAATTAGCAGACCTTTAGTCCTGTTTCCTGCCCTATACAGTTGAACCAGGCTTCAGTAATCCCCACTCTTTTTTTGTGTTCTGTTTTCAAACTCCCTATAGATTTGAGACTGGCCTTAAACTCCTGATCTTTCTGTTTCTATCTCCCAAGGACTGGCGTTATAAGTGTGTGCCACCATACCCAATTTGACCAGCCCCAACTCTTACCTCTTTGGGGGCAGGTCACACCTTAACTTCAGGTAAATCTGGAGCCTGGAAAAGGTGGCATACAATTACTTATGTTGTATCCTATTGGCATTCCATCACTGCTTATCTGGGGCCTCCATAGGAGGCTGCATAAATTGTACCCTAAGAAGAAAAAGGGCTGAGATCCATCCCAACACTAGCTTATTTCCAACCTGCATCCTATCATCTCTACTGCCAACCTTCCATATTAACCCCAACCCTTCCATATTATACCTTGACATAGAGGAGTTCTAAAACACAGGAACTAGTCTTACCGGCCTGAGCCTCGGTCCCACTGAACAGAGGGAAAGAGCCGGAAGGGGAGTGGCGAGGGGAGGTCATCGGAGAGCTGGTATCTCATCACAGTCAGCTGAGGCCAGAGAGGAACAGGTCAGTATGGTCGGTCTCACACTGGTACTGCCTCCCTCCCTGCTGGTGGATGGAACACACCAGGCCACTCTGACCTTACCTCTCCCTGAGGTGGCTGCAGGTGGAGGATCCGATGAGACTCAAACTCATCTAGATTGACAGAGCTATGGAATGACACCTCATCAACTCGAATTCCTGGCCCATAACCTGCAACGAGAAGAACTTAGCTCTCCCAACCCATGTTCAGAAGGGAAGAGACATTTCCAATGTCTCTCCATGATATTTTTGGAGAGAAAAAACTCATGCTCCCCTTACCTCTCAGTTCTGACTTTCCCACACAAAATTCTTCTGTCAAGCCAATGTACATCTCTGTGGGAGGAAAGGACATGAAGGGCATCAAATACCACCACATATCACCAGGAAGCCTGTACCACACTTAACCATGGGTCCTCACCAGAACCACTAGGAAGGAAGCTCTTGAGCCGTATCTCCCCTTGGACATCCACCTTCAACAATGAACCCTGTGGGTGGGAAGGAAGTTAACACTCCACCTTCCCCAAGTCCCATTTCCCTTCAACTCCAGGGGTAGGAACCCAGACTTACATTAGCTGCAATCAATACAGACAGCCTCTCGACCACATCTAAAAACACTTCGTTCTTTTGGCTCTAAGAAAGAAAGGGGTTTGAGCTGTAGAGGCTGAAAACCTGTTCTACTATGGACAAGTAATGCTGGGCATGGTGACACATGCCTGTAATCCCAGTGCTTAGGAAGCTGAGGAAGGAGGACTGCCATGAGTTCACGGCCATCCTGGGTTACAATGTGAGTGCCTGGTTTACCAGATGAAACCCTGCCTCAAAAAAAAAAAAAAAAAAAAAAAAAAAGAGGGGGGGAGAGGTTAAGAGCACTGACTGTTCTTCCAAAGGTCCTGAGTTCAATTCCCAGCAACCACATGGTGGCTCACAACCACCTTGAATGTGATCCGGTGCCCTCTGCTGGCATGCAGGCAGAAGACTGTATACATAATAAATAAATTTTTTTTAAAAATCTTTAAAAAATTTTTAAAAAAATTAAAAAAAAAACAAACAAAAATAAAAGAACGGGGACTGCAGAGATGGCTTGGTGGGTAAAGTGCCTGCCACATGAATGTGACAATCTGAGTCTGATCCCCAAAATCCATATGAAAGTCCAGTGTGGGGAGGGCAGCCTGTAATACCTACACTAGGGAGTAGTCAGGGAGCGCCAGGCTAATCAAAGATCCTGTCCCAAAGAAGATGAGCAGCATTCCTGAGGACATCAAAGCCTAGTCCTTTGGCCTCCATACAAATGTGTTTAACACACACACACACACACACACACACACACACACACACACACACACACAGAGGCATGGGATAGGAAGGAATACCATGTCAAAAGGAGTGGAAATATAACACAATTGCTTGGACTCTGGGGTGTCAGGACAAAACAAACAAAAATCCATCATGTCTGGCCTCACTGATCTGTCCCTTACCTGGTCATAGCGACTGGACAAGACCGGGCGACTGGCAGCACTGCTTGGGGCCACTCTGTTCTGTTGTGTCTCTGCCCCAAACTGTAAAACACCCAAGGCCACCATCCTCAGCTTTGATGCTTACAGACAACCCCCTTGGCCCCTCCTCTTTCCCTGCTACTGACCAATCCAACACTGCTGAGGTCAAAGAGGCTGAAGGGCTTGCTGACCACAGCTTGGGTTTGGATGAAGTTCCTCAACATTTCCGTGGATGTAGTCTGCACATAGCCATAATCCTAATGGACACAAAGAGTGCAATGGAGTGGATTTTGCCTCCTAACCACAAAACACTATGATAGAGAGGCCACTTCTTCAGGGTAGCAGGGAATATGAGGGTAAATCCCTGGGGCCGGGGAGATGGTTCAGTGGGTAAAGGGTTTGCTGAGCAAGTGTGAGGACCTGAACTCACTCCCCAAAACTCAAGTGAAGAAAACCCAGATGTGATGATGAGCATCTAGAATCCCATTTGGAGATCAGATATGGAGACAGAAAAGTCGGGGAAGCTTGCAGGCCAGCTAGTTTAGTGTACAAAGAGACCCTGTCCTTTTTCTTTTTGTCTTTTCCTTTCATCTCTCCTCCCCTCCCACTCTGCCCTTCCTCCCTGCCCAGTTTTTCGAGACAGGATTTCTCTGTGTAGCCCCAGCTGTTCTGGAACTCACTATGGAAAACAGACTGGCCCTGAATTAAGAGATTCACCTGCCTCTGCCTCCTGAGTGTACCACCACACCTGGCTTCTTTTTCCAATTTTTTGAAACAAGGTCTCACTATGTAACCCTGGCTGGCCTTGAACTCATTATGTAGACCATCTGCTTGTGGGTGCTGGTATATTAAAGGTATGCACTACCATGTCTTGAACAAGGTAGAAGATAAGGATCAGTACCTGAGATTGTCCAACACAAAAAAGAGGGAGATCCTGTGAAATGGCTCAGCTGGTAGAGGCGCTTTCTACCAAGCCAGTCAACCTGAGTTTCAATGCCAGGGACTCAGACAGGAGGAGAAAACGGTCTGCAGCAAGTTGTCCTCTGAACTCCGCACATGTGCAGTAGTGTGGGCAACCACACTCATATACACACATAACATGAATAAATACATTTTTAAAAAGATAAAAAGACGAAAGTTGGAGGCTGGGGGTTGGCCCATACCTTTAATCCCAACACTCGGGAGTCAGAGGCAGGCGGACCTCTGTGAGTTCAAGGCCAGCCTGGTCTCCAGAGCAAGTGCCAGGATAGGCTCCAAAGCTACACAGAGAAACCCTATCTCAAAAAAAAAAAAAAAAAAAAAAAAAAAGGGAAGTCGGGGCTGGAGAGATGGCTCAGAAGCTGTACTTCCAGAGGTCCTGAGTTCAATCAACCACAAGGTGGCTTACGACCATCCCTTATGAGATCTGGTGCCCTCTTCTGATGTACAGATATACACGGAAGCAGAATGTTGTATACATAATAAATAAAATCTTAAAAAAAAAAAGAGGGAAGTCTTTGGGCTTTACCAGTACTTCATCCAGCAGTTCATAGACAAGAGCCACATTCCGTGAGACGGTCCCCTCACTGAGTGAGCCACAGTAGTCACACAAAAGAGTGGCTAGCCTAAGGAAACACAGTTGAGTGTGTGTGACTAACCCTCTCAGGCCCTGCTTCTTGGGTGCCCATCCCAGCCCCACTCACCTGGAAAGCAGCTCGAGGAGGCTGAAAGGAGAGACGTTTTCAGAGGTTGTGGCCACCAAGTAGAGGCCACTGTGTCTGATGTGGATGAAATGACGGTCATCATGGTACTGCGGCAGAGTTGGGGAGAGAGGCATTAAAAGACCAGAATTGCAGTAATGTAGCCCACGAGATGGCATCCTAAGGTTGCTACTAGTGGGTGATCCCTGAAACCTCCCAACTACCTGGCCTCCTAACGTGTAACCTACCTCTCAGGATTGTTGACAGTCAAGTGATGAGGGTGCAAGGCTGTTGCTGGCATCTTGTTAGCACTCAGTAAATACACTTGGAGAAACGTATCCCTTCCCCTCCCTGGAAGCTTCCTATCAAGCAGCCCTTGAAAGGGAGCGATGAGGCACCCACCAAGCTCTACAGTCCTAAGCCCCTGCAAGCCCGCCACAAGTGGTTACCATGACAACCGGGGACTCGCCTCCAGTCAGTCCCGTCAGCTTCCGGTAAAAGAGCTCGGCCACATCACGACCACCACTGTCCCCGCGAACTGGAAGGATAGTTAAGGAGCAGGCGACCCAGAAGGCTCTGGGCTCCACTTCTACCGACTACTCCGCCCCGTTTCGCTGGCCAAGGATACAGTCTTTGTAAATGAGTGGGTCCCCCTTGGAGGACAGAATGAAGAACTGGGAAATCATGGCCGTGCTGGAGGGCAGACGAGAAGACGGAGAAAGCTGAAGCCACCCCGCCCTGCGGCCGACGAACAAAAGGAGGCACGGAGGCTGGCGCTTTAAGAAACACTCCTCCCACTTCCACACGGGAGGCCGTAACTCTGAGCCGCGGGAAACCCGGCGCCCCACCCGCCGGGCCAGCACTCTCCCTGCGGCCCTCCCCCTCGCTGCCTGTCACTCGCCCCAGACTCGCCCAGGGATTGGTTGAAACTGGGTGCCGGCAGCGGTTAGGGGCCCCTGCTCTGATTGGCCCGTACTCAGCGGCACGTATCACGTGGGTGGCGACGTTTCGCGCCAATTTCGGTTGGTGGCTGCATCGCGCCGCGCGCTTGCTCTGCGCTTCCCCGGAGTGAGGCTTCTCGGCTCACTCGCCCCCCACCCCCACCGCCCCCC